AGAGAACATGAAGTAATCCAAAGGAAAAATATTCTATCTTTCCATGACAATTTATTTCCTAATATTTTACTCAACGAATCACGTAGTGTACCTTGACTTGCAAATTCTGTTACCATCATATATTCTTTTGTTTCTGGGTTCTGGGTCATTCCATAATATCTTATCATAGCCCGATGAAATCCGTCACCACATTTCATTGCTATATTAATATAAATGAATCAATTGTTATTTAGAAGAATCTTTTTTTTTTCGATCCCCCCTCCTGAAACTTACTATCAATAAAATTGTTAATCTGTATTTTAATAAAAACATAATATAGATTATTAAAATGAATGAGCTTAGGATAATTCGAAATAAGTAAACCCTGCTCACCTCAGAAAAGAATCCTTCAACGGTTGGTCCCAAATGACTAATAGTTTTAAGAGAAACAGGGTGGTTTTCTTCTCTACAAAAAAATTCGACATTGTATTCATCACGGACTTTTGGTCCCTCCGGCCATACTGCAGAATAGACTTTCCCAAATCCTCCTTTTGTTAATAATGGACATCAACTAGTTTTTCGTATGGAATCCATTCTAAATAATGCTCCCATTCAGTCGCACTAAGTTGAATTCCTTGAATAAAATTGTCTATAATTTGGTTACCACTTGACCAATTAGGAAACTCGTCTTGAAAATATTGAGAATAGCAAGTTTGACACCAATGACGATGTTTATTTTTTTGATTACACTTGGGGCAATTGTTTTCAACCATTTAAGAAAAGGCAAGGAGAAGGAATTGCTGTATTTATTTGAAAGAAAACAAAAAAATGTTCTTAAACTATTTATATAATAATATTAATAAAGGAAACAATATTAACGAAATTATTACAAGTGCGTAACAATGAAATTTTTTTGAATGATATAAGAAATTTGTGTGATATTGTAATTGAATTTCATTGGTTAATTTCACTGGAATTATTCCCAATTTCTTTGGGGAAATTTATTGGTATAAAATCCAGTGTGCGGGATGTGCGTGCTAACCAAAAAATTTGCTGATGAATTCCGACTTTGGTTAGCACGTACATTCTGCACGCCGAATTTTATATACCGGGCACAACCAATGATGTGACTGATTCAACAGATTTGACACAAAGAATTAATTAATTCTGGGACATTTTTAAGCGCCAGGTATTCTTTCATTCAAGAATAATTGATACTATCAAACTTTATGCTATTGTAGCCAAGAAAAAAAGGTCCACTTGTTAACAAAGTTAACTGCTTCCTTGATCCAAAAAGGAAATTTTTTCTATATAATTGTGGATCTGGAAATCAAAATATTGATTGAAGATAAGAAAATTTCTGTCAAGACGCCAAGTTATATCCCCGCAAAGATCCGTATAATTCGTAATGTAATAAAAATTAAAGATGGTGGCAATATTAAAATATGCTTCATTCAA